GGGTTACTAAAATTCGTGTTTTGTTTCGAGATTTGGTTGCTGTAATAATCATCGTACTAAAAGCATCGAATTTACAAACCAAGTGAAAGTCCAATATCAATAACTGTCGAAAATACAACCAAAACACTATGGATTTACTGCATTATTTGCGTAAATTGTGATTTGCACCAGAAAGTGATTATTTAAATGCGCAATTACATGCAGAAATAATATGAACTCAGAAATAACTGGAATTTTAAAAACCCCGTGGAATTCGGTAGCGCTAGCAATAACTCCCCAAAAAAAATTTGGAATTGTCGCAATAAAAAAGTAAATTATCAAATAAGTGATGTCGAGTTTCACGTGTAATAAAATCGTTTAAAATAACATCGAGGATTTTTTTTTTAAAAATTGGAAATTTGTAGCAATAACGATCCAAAGAATGATTAAGTATGGATAAACAATGATAACGGTGCAAATCAGGAGTGTTAAGGATTGATTTCTTTGTGTGCCGTAATAATATTCGATATAATAATTTATATAATAATAACTATATATAATATTCAATGTAATAATAATTTATATAATAATAATATTTAATAATAATAACAATATAATAATTTTTCAAAAAAAAAAACGAATCAGTAATAGTATCCGAGCAATACTACACACCGAATTTTTTATTAAAAAAATAAATAAAAGTAAAAATTTGTAGCAATAATTGCTGGGGGAAAAAAAAAAGATCAAAACACTACATATGTTATTTCTTAAATGAAAATAGAAAAATCGCGTGCATTTCTTTCCCACTAAGATTTTTAAAAAATGCTATGCTGTTTAGCAAAATTTTTTTCTTTGAAATTAAGCTATCAACTAGATTCTGGCTCACACTAAAATGCGTTTGCAACAAACCGGTGAAATTTCATTAAAAAATTAGCTTAATTACGTATCGTTACTCTAGCTAAAAATCAAGTTTTTTTAAACAGTATTTCAGTTGAGAATGGCATTATAACTCTGAAATTTTAAACATATACTTTTAAAATTGTACTCTATGGAAAAAAAAAAAAAATCTTTGTATGTGTTTCGCTAGGGAGACCCCTTAAATCTACGTTATTTGTTACCATGTTTTCCTCGCGGAAAAATAATATTAAATATTTAATTTTTGAATCTTCAGATTCTCCTTCAGGAATTTATTTATAAATTAATAAAATTCTGAAACAGGAAAATATGGTACCAAAAATGTTAAAGTGACCATTAAATAATTTCTTTTTTTTCTTTCGGAGAAGCAAATGTAATAGAAGTTGTACTATATAGAGAAAAGTTAAAATATTCACTATGTTTAACTTATGTTAATTCATAGAAAACATTTGTAAATAAAGTTTTTATTGTTATATTTTGTTTTTTTTATTTGAAATGCTTATTTCATCACCTTACATTCACGTAGATATTGTTTTAAACATAGTCAAAAATAGCAGTTTTAAGATAATTATACATTTATTCGCAATCACTATTCAGTTAGGCTTTGTATAATATCCTTGATGTTTAACTATTTTTTATTCAAAAAAAATTTCGTATAAAACCGACAAGTCTTGATTCAATAAGGAAAAGGGTGCTGCAATCATCCTAAGACAGGGTTGAAACAAAACCAGGATTTTTTAATTAAGAAAAGCCCAAGCCTGGTGGGTTTAATTGGGTGTTATTTTTAAGAGGGGCAATACATAGTACATCTTAAAGGTTATGAAATAATTTTGTTACGAAATCTATAACAGCATTCAGTCTTAATATTGGAAGATATGTTAAACATAAAATTAATTTTAATGAACTAACAAGCAAATAAATTCATGCTACAGCTTCATATAATTTATTAGATAGGAACTAGTCTAAAAAATTTCTCATTTTCAATGAATTTATTTTAAACTGTTATATAAATATTTAAAAATATATTAGGGGGACCGGAAAGAAATGTCAATTCGGTGCATTTGATATTAAGATTTTATTTTTAATCACTAATACGAATATTTAATGCTCCAAAACGACATTACTTTTCAGTCCCCATAATAGTTTGATGATAACTGCATAAAAGTTAGTCCTTTCAGAAAAACAACTAGTCCACATTCCAACCCTGTAGCTCTTTTAATAGGCTCAAAATGAGATGGTCTTTAACATTTAGTTATCAGTCACACTTGCTGAACCTGCTTGCTTGGGCAGCTATTGTTCTCAAAAAAGTATGTTGAAGTTTATAGATATTTAGAGTGAATAAGAACCAGAAAAGCTTATTATCTTCTTATAGGATGAATATTATACTTTTTATGTCATTGAGATTAAATTCTAGTACTATTCAAAGTGTTCCAATTTTGTTATTAAAATATTCTTTAAAATTTCAGAAATATATTATTTTAGGTCGGCAACTTTAGAAAGTAATTAAGATTATTAACTTAAAAAAGGTAGAATTTGAGAAAAATATGGACAATCATAATAGCAATTAGTAATAAGAAAAAAAGGGGGGCTGACAAACCAACTCTGTTTATTTCTATAAACAAAAATTAAAAATAGGTTATATTGGTAGGTAGACCGCTCTCTTTTAAGATATCAAGAATGCAAGGCGTAAAAGTTTTAATAGTTGTCTTCAAACTGCATAACATTATAATCATAGCAATTTATCAAAATTATTAGATAATTTTCAGAAACAATTTGCCCGCCCTTGTATCAGAACTTAAAACGACTTAGTTTCTACGTTCTATTTTTTCATCAATTCAGTTGAATTATATAAATGGACGCATTAAGAAGTATAAGGCATTTATTGTTTACCTATCTTTATCACTTGTGCATTGCTTGTATGCAGGATTGATAGATTTCAAATAGTTTTGACTGTGTAAGTCATTTCAAGAACAATCGGTGATAAAATTCAAAAGAATATTTGTATAATCACATCAAAATTACATTATTTTGATAAATAATATTATATTGTACAGTATACTCTTGATATTTCCAAGTTGAAGGGACACTGAAAAAATGTCTAGACAATAAGTTCTAAAAAGTAGAAAAATGTATTCTAAAAATAAAGCGACGATACATGAGTATAACTAGTACAGGGCTGATTGTGCTCCAGATTTTTTGCTAACAGTGATCCGGAAGTTTCCGGAGATCGAAGGTCCAGACGTTTCAAAAAATCATTGATCACAGAAGTTTCCGGAAATCAAATTTTCAAAGGTGGACCTTAAAAACAGTTTATTTTATTTGTTTGTAAGGGAGAGCCAGAGAGATACTTTATAAGCTTATATTCATTTTTTTTATCTGTAAATAGTTGTTATAATCATAAACTCAAGAAAGAAAGAAATATTTGTGAACTTAAATTACTTCTCCAGGTCATCATAGGTATGTGTAAAAGTTAAAATATATTTTAATTAAACTAAGAAATATTGAGAAAAAGGAAAGAAAAAAAAACTTCTTTAAAATTTTTCAATTTAAACCGTTTTTTTAAATTTTTTAACTGAAGAAATTTTCCGGAATTTTGACTTGGGCTCACAACCACCCCTGCTAGTAATAAATATTGATAGTTGACTATAGGTCTAAATACAACAATCATAATTTTATTTTTTAAAGTAAGACGAAAATAATGATAGCTTAATTATTTTTCCGAAAAAAATTTCATTTTCTATTCCAAAATTTTTTTTGACATAACTATGTTTTGAAAAACTATTCGACATAGGAATCCAAATTAACATTAGGAAAACATGCCAAGGAGAAAAATATGTTTTTGACATAACTAGGTTTCCGAGATATCGGGAGTAAACTGTATCTTGTGCTTGGAAAATATATGAGGTTGTAAAGTGTGGAATTCTCTATTTTCATTACTTTTGCAATCAAACAGATATAGTTTATTTTTCAACTAAATTTATAAAATTGACAAATATAATTAAGTTTCTCTATATTAACTTAATCTAGTAACATATAAGAGAACTTAACTGCAATTGAAGTAACAATACATCAAAGCAATAAATTCTCAACTGAACTGGCACAGGAAAATTAGTTTATGATATTTAATGTTTGTGCTATAAATAGGGTTAAAAGTGTTCAGGTATTTACCTGCAATTAATAAGAATGAACCTAATTTTCAAATTCTTCCAGTTTTATGTATGCACATGAACCCAATATGTGTCCCGAAATCTTTATTTTTATATCCAATTTCACTTATTTCTTCAAAAGAAAGCATCTTATATTTTCTAACACTCGATCAGTTGTTGGAGATACTCCCCTTCCTCGGAGGTTTTCAGGTTTAGACATCTAAGAATTTATTATAGATGATGAAGATTGAACAAAATCTGTGTTCCTCCCTTCCTTAAAAACTCAAACGGCAAAAAATATTAATAACAAAATTAAGATTTTTTGGTAAAGGACACCTAGATATTTTTAAGTAGGTGGCTAAATAGATTTTTACGAGATTTTGTGAAGGAGATGAACACTAGATATCTCTAAAAACATACTGATTCTCCTTTTTTTGCATTTAACAGTGTGCATAGCGTTTTTAAAAAGTGCTTATTTTCGAATTTCGTTTTTCAAAAACCCTTAAAGGTGCTTTTTTCATTAGGTGTTTTTAAAAAGTGCATAATTTTCCCTTTTACAAAATGAAATTTTTCATTCACCATGTCGATTTTCGCTACGAATCATGCAAAAAGACACAGTTCACATTGTCTTATTCAATGTTTTTTAAATTCATTCAACCCCAATCTATTTCGGCATATTGTGTGTAAAAACGCCATGACGAATGGCGTGTAAAAACGCCATTCGTTTTACACGATTCAAAATTTCACGATTTTTGACAATTGTCAAAAACAACGCTAAAAGTTTTTTTTTTTGGACATGGCTGTTAAGAGCGTCAATAGTCGAAAACTTTCCAACCCTGCCTAATTATGATATTTCTTTAAAGTGCTTAAAATTATTTTTTTTTGAATAATTTGGCTATGCACCCTGAATTGAAGTATTTGAAGGACAGATATTAGACAATATCAAAAAATTAAGACCACTAAAAAGAAAAACAATTTATTGAATGTACAATCAATATAGTTTTCTTCCTTAAGTGCACACTTCACAGAACTTGCCATGCACATTAGTTAAGAATAAATTTTTACACGTTTACACACACTCACAAATATGTCAAAAAAATGAAATTAAACGAATAATTTAACAAATGGAACAATAACAGGTTTGGACCAATTAATACTAAAAATCATCTCGGATAGATAAAGAAAAAAAGGGGGGGGGGAATTACAAAATAATTAATTTTTAAAAGATAAAATTTTCTAGTATGATTTCTTTAAAAAAAAATCCTTAATTTATTTTTGCTACTTAGCATCATAGATATATATATATATATGTCCTTATTGCAAACTACAGACAGCTTCGTCATTTCAGTGGGTTTGCTTTTTTCCTTGACACATGGAGTTGATGAAGCACTGTAGGAGTATGCATCTCCGAAACAGTCCTTGTTTTTTTTAAAAAAGATATCAAACAAAAGGACTAATGCTAAATTTGCCTGTTACAAAAAGTCCTAAATAACAGCCAATTCATCTTCATTTTTCAACCATCTTCTTTTGGCGGCGTAAACCAACCTAGATAAAATGAAAGAATTTTCACTATAAAATTAACAGTCTATCACAAATAAATTTATTAATAATTCATACAATAATACTTTGGGAGCCGCGATGGCTCAAGGGATAGAGCGTTTGCCTTCCATAGAGGCGGACCGGGTTCGAATCCCAGTCAATACAAATTCCACATCCAGCTTGCACCGACCACAGTGCAGACCTGAAATATCCTCAGTGGAAGACGGATCATGAGTTAGAGTCCCCTTGTCGCCAGGCTAGGTTCTCGTGGTCTTCCTCTCCATGCAACGCAAATGCGGGTTAGTTCTATCAAAATGTCCTCCACAAAGGCAAATTTGTCCCAATACTCGATCCAGGAGTTCCCTTGTCTTCTGGATTGGGTTCAAAATTACAAGGCTACGGAGTTGAACATTAGTAGTCGTAAACCCATAAAATTGGGTCGGCTGTTCAACGACAGTTATAAAATAAAAATAATACTTTGGCTCAGGAGATAGAGTGCTTGTCATGCAATGAGGTGGACTGGGTTTGAATTTCAGCAATAGTGATACGAATTCCGCACGCACTGAAAATTTTGTTGGAATGCAAATTATCGATTTGCAGAAATCCGAGAATTAGCAGAAGAATCACATGCCTGTATCAATTATGTAAGAATCTAAGTTGTATGAATATAAATCTTAGAAAATTCAATATCGTAAAAATAACCATAATCTTTTTTGTTAATTTTGAAATTTATTGCTCACCTATACAATAAAAAAACAGGTTTTTAATTTTATATTTTTTAAACTAAAATTAAATTCATGTAATTACGAATATATCTGTATTAATAATGCACCAGTTCATTTCTAAATAAGAATGAAGAAATTGAGATAACTCCCTTAATAAATCAGAATGCTCTTAATCTGAGCTAACAGAAATTATCAAAAACAAAAGCTATAATGTATAAAAACTTCAAATGCTTGAAAAATAAACTATCTTTTACTTCTGGAGGCATTTCTAATCAACCGTAGTATTTTTCTTAGGCAACTGTTTAAAGAACAACGTGCATGTCACAAAAAACATTTCACAAACCTACACATGACCAAGCACTTATCCATATTTTTAGCAGGAATGTCATATAATTTTCACCCTGGTCAGATGACGAGGACAGCGTCTGAGGTTCCTAAGCTCCAAACTTCCACACCACTTTCAGCAACAACAGATTTAACATATGCTCGCGCCTTTCATTGACACACTGAGTCCTCAAGATATTGGGAAGCAAGAGAACTTTTAAGGCAATGACTTCTTTCTTTGTTCTCCTACGCACATTTGTATTCGTTATTTATTTCATCTTTCTATATCTACCTTTTTGCCTTGCCATTGGAAAAATAAAAAAAACATATGCCTTGCTGCATATTCGCACGGTTTAGTCATCCGCTGGGATCAGGGTCACACTCCCTAGTTCTCCAATGGCAGAGGCAATAATGCCTTTTCTGACCAATGCTAACGTCTTCATCGATGCTTAAAACATTACAACTACATTTTAATGACTCAGCAATGCATTCATCATGATTTTTTGTCTTTTTCCTGAAATTTCTCTTTTTCAGTCTCTGAACAGATGAAAAAACTAAATTTTTTCTAAAAATATCAAAACTGTAAAACAACTCTTATAAATTTATGATTTTTTTTTCTTCTTTAGTAGAAAGAACTATCCATTTCTAAAGATGGATGCTGAAAAAAATGAATTCAAAACTAAAAATGAAGATCGAATGGGATACTTGAATCAAAAGTTTGGTCAAAAAAATACAGACTCACAAATGAGGAAAACAACTAATCTATTCAATGGTTTGCATTTGGCAACATTGCAATTGAGGTTGCTAAATGAGCGGCCACAATTTCTCATTTATATGTACCTGCCCTGTAATTCATGACAAAACAGCTGAAGGACCTCACATAGTTAGTCCTTCATTCCTTACTTACATAATTTTTGAACTGAAAAGATATTTTAAAGACATTTCTGCAAAAAAAGAAGAAAAAAAAATTCACCAATAGTCAAAAAAAAAAAAAAATAATAATAATGAAGTCACAGATAAAATACAGTCATTTTGCAACCAATCTTATTACATGGATGAAAATGTAGCATTTAACTTACCATTCTTCTCATGAATTTGTACTAGAGATTTAAAGGACTGTTGCGCTCTTGCTAGACTGTATTGACTCTGCTAAAAAAGCAAATTAATCTTTAAATACAAGTTACGCTATAAATTGTTACTTTTTTTGCATTCTCACAAACACTACATCAATAAAAACAATATTTAAAATGTTCCGAAGCAAAATTAAAATCTATAGTGAAATATTTACCTTGTTTGCTCCAAACTGAATGCGCGCTTTTCCTTTTACTAAAGTGGCAGCAATTTGGAGAATTATAGCTTCAACAGTGTAGGCACTACTCCAACCCTAAAAATTTTCACATTTAAGCCATTTTTCACGATTTACTCATTTGTAAAGTACAATAATATACTAATGATAAAAGACATAAGTATGCAACAGTTTTTAATACCGAATCTTAAGAACTGAAACTACCTTCTTGGAACTTAGATTTTGAAAATGTAACTCTCTGTATTTAAAGAAATTTGCCAATTTAAAAAAACAAAACTAGATCAAACAATTTAAATAAATGATCATTTAATGAAGAAAAAAAATTCATCAATTCTTGTAATATATTATTAGATTTACATAGTAAATCAGTCTTAAAGTTTGAAACAATTGCTGATCCAATATATATTTTGTCCACTTACTTAATGCAAAGTAAATCTGTCATTTCAAAACCAAATATTTTATTCTAATGACTATATACTTGCATAAATCTTCTTCAATGGTCTGATAGCCCAGGTTAGGCTCCAGCCTTCTCAAAACTATTCTTCCAGGCCACTCTCAACCCTGAATAATCATTTATTCTATCTACTACTCTTAACTTCCTGGAAGAACCTGCACTCTTTAAATGCTTACCCAAGAATACAACTATCAACACCAATCTCGTTGTTCCATGCTCCAAAAAGGAATTAACATTAGTTATTTTTAGAAAGGGTATGCAAACACTCAATGCAATGTCGGAAAATAGTCTTGTTCACGAATATTCTGTTGATTCAGTCGACGAAACTATTAAAAAAGGCGGTACAGGCGTACACTTTGTACTACCCAACGGTACAACCATGAACCATTCTTTGGGCACTGGTTCCATCGCCTCAAATTTCACCAGTGAACTCAGAGCAATATATAATGCATGGTATGAATACATCTTACTCAACAACACTGACAAAGCCAATGGGCTAGTCATCTTTTGTGACTCCAAAGCTGCCTTAGAAGTATTGAATAAAGGTCAATCAAGGCTAACCCATGATATCCAACACCAATTGAAAGAAATTGACAAACTAAACAAGATATGTATTCTACAATGGTTGCCTGCGCATGTCGGTATCCCTGGAAACGAAGAGGTAGATCAACTTGCCAAGGAAAGGAGAAATCTCAATAATGAAAATATCGTCAAGGTCTCTCTTGACGATGTTAATGCGATCGCAAGATTTCATCTGAGAGAAAAACACCTTTAAAAAAAAAGACTTGCAGATTTGTGAAATAAATGCAAATAGAGACCTCACCAAAACTATCATCCGCCTTAGAACTGGTCACTATCGAGGTATGATGGCGATAGTAGAACCAGTGTTTTCATTACAGAAAAAAAATGAGAGAGAAATTCTCACCCTTTCTCAAAAACAGGGTAAGATCTCAGAAAGTTAAGTGAGATTTCTAAAAATTAAAAAGGCGCGAATAGATTTGGAAAAAAAATATTTCTTTAATTATAATACATTTTTAACATCTTATAATTTTTAAAGCATTGAATATTTTTGCTGCATCATCATATCAAAAACGTTCTATATCTACTTTTTCATCAGCTTTTCTCATTCATTAGGTTGCTCAAATGTTTATCAGTTATTTGTATACGATATTTTGTCTTAATTCGGTTTTGAGTGCTAAATGTGACAGCCGAGATTCTCGCAGAATATCATATTTGTCATGTCAACAATAAAAGAGAAACGAAGTTTCTGAATAAATGAGTTTATTTAAAAACATTAGTAATAAGGAATGTCACAAACAAAGTGACGAAAAGAAAGAATACAAAATGATCTGCTTCAATAGAAGCTTAAATACAGATAGCAGGTGACGTCTAATCCACGCAAGAACGACCAACATCAAATGAAAATAAACTGGCCGATCCCCGCAGACCATGACGTCACCGACGCAAGTTGAATGCATGAGATCGACGACGGAAAATCGAACCTCATACCTTTTAACTTCTATTATTTGTCTAACATGCGGCCCCCTCTCATGCCTTCAACTTTTACAAAAAAAAAACACATATACAGTTTATCAAATTCCTCAATAAACTAAAGAAATATTTAATTTCCTTACACTAATACTTAAGCTGTTTCAGTCCTGAAACCACCCAAAAGATTAAACTTTCACAAATACTTTTGAACAGAAATTTTCCACTTCTAACTTGGTTAAAGGTTTTGTAAAAATGTCCGCTAAGTTAAATTTACTCCTAACGTGCTTAACAGCAAAAAATTTATCATAAATTAAATTTCTTAAAAAATGATACCTTACGTCGATGTGTTTCGTTCGACTATTTTCAATAGGTGAATGAGAAAAATCAATTGCCGATTGATTGTCACTAAATATAATACAATCACTTAAATTTATGTCTTCTAAATTCNTATTTTGAATTTTCAACAAACTTCCTTGATATCATTCACAAATTAATCATACATGTTGGAACTATGCATTACCGAATTCAATACACTTATTATAAAAATTCATTCTGAAATTAAATACATTTTGGAAACGTTCATTTTCAAATGAAATACTGGAAGCATTACTTGCATTTAAGGATTCCATGTCTGTGTAAAATTCTTCCTCCCACTCAGCAGGAAGTGAAAAAAATATGGAATTATCATACTCTACTTCAGAATTGACTTTATCCTGCCATTCACTCATGACATCTACACTCTGCTTAAGAAGATCACCCACAATCTGAAATATAACATTTCTCATCAAAAACTCTACAATCAGGGCGCAGAAATGTTTTGGGCCTCTATAACATGTCATATTGTTTGAAATCGAATTTTAAAAAAACATCACATACAAGAAATGAGGAATTTTTAAGCTATGCAATAATTTTAAACAAATTTAAAAACATTTTGATTACCTCAAAAACATAAAATAAAGCATTTTAAACTTGCCAACATTGGAAAAATAAAATAACGGAGATTTTACTAGAGACATTTTTTAAGCTACAAGTAAAGATTTAAATCATGCATAATCATCATGTAAGTCAAAAAGAGAAATTCAAAATTAGAGCACTTACAATATAAGCACTTACATTTAGCGAGGTAAAACATATGTATATAAATCTTAATCTAAAGAAGATTTTTTAAACCATTATTTATAATTACTTAAACTATTTTTAAAACCATTATTTATAATTACTTAAACTATAAATACTCAACTTACTGCAGTACTGGCAATAGCCCATCTGTTGAGGAATAAGATAGGTATTCTTGCCTTCAGTGGATATATTAAAGGCAATTTTTTTTAAAATTTCTTCAACAAACACAGAGAAATTTGAGAATATAAAGTAAGCAGGAGCAGTTTTAGGTTCAAAATGAAGAATTTAAAGCATGATTGGGTCTGATTTTTAAAAGAAAAGTTTTGGGGAGGGAATATTTGTAAAATACTTTGTGAATGATTCATTTTTTTTGTTGATATTATGTGAAGGGTACATTTCAAAGATAAAATTTTTTATTACGAGTCTGTTAATGGATCAAAATTTCTCCTGATCAATTTAACTTAAAGCTGGGTAAATACAACAACACAACTTTTGATTGTATTTTTTGGTTTCTAAGCTAAGCAAAGTAGACCAATATAACAATCAGGCATTTAATTGATGGAAGATATCTGAATTTGTTTTAATAGTTAAATTTTTATTTATTTTTATATAGAAAATAAATAAAAGACTCAGTTTTACGCACAAAAGCAACACTTATAAAATTTAAAGAGAGAAAGAAATTTTTTTCCCTTATTAGCACATAAAAGAATATGTAAATTGAAAAAATTTAGATATTCCTCTTTTTACGTACTTTAAAAGCAGTGAAATTCACGGCAATGACGGAAAAAGATGGATGATGAAATCGAACGAATCAAGTAAGCACGCAGAAAAAAAAAAAATTCATTATATGTACGTTTCGAAACAGACCTGTTGCAATAAATAATTTTGTATTAAAAATAACGAGATTTTAAAAAATATACGATAATCATCAGTGATAACTGTTGAAAAATGTATTGAAAAAAAAAAAAAAAAAAAAAAAAAAAAAAAAAAAACACGATAGAATTAACGATTCAAATAGTGAATACACAAGCAGGTTCAAGATTTAAATTCCCCGCATCATAATATAATATTATCAGGACTTTCAAGAATCATGTGAAAATCATCAGCAATAACTACCAAAAAAGCTTTGTTCAAAACACTGCATGGGTTTTGTGCAAATCAAGAGCATCAAAAAATAATTATTCAAATCTGCGATTCAAGTTTTGCGTGTCGTAATAATACCTGAATTTCGAAGACCATAAAAAAATCAATCGAATTATCTGCAAAAGAAAAAAAGATCGTAAGTGGTTACGGAAATGCAAGGAGAAGTGACATTTAATGTGATTTTCAAGATTGTAATATCACATTAAAATTTTTTACCTACTTGTAGCCAAATAATAAAAAAAAAAGAGGACAAATATATCACAGTAATTAAATAATTCTGTTACAAAATTTGCAACAAAATTGCTACTCATTAAAGTTATTTAGTTTTTTAAAAAGAGAGAAAAAAAACACATTTTTTTTGCTAATGATCTTTAAAATGCTTGCCCTTTCGGAATTACTTCTTAAATTATCAATTTTATACTTTTGTATTTGCTTCAATAGCTAATTAATTCTAGCCGAAGTTACGGAATTCTTTTTTGTCTCATGTTTCCGAAGTTATGGTTTTTCCTAACAAATCTGGCTAAATAAAAGTAAACGCAGGTGAACCATGAAAAAAAGTTCGTGTGGGGTAAGGGCGGAATAAATGTCTTGCAACTAAAATATAAATTTTAAATTAGTGGAGCACTGAGGAAATTTCATAGGAAAAAAATTATTGATTCGCAGAATTTCGCGAAATAGGGAAGAATCACGTGCCTGAACAATACTAGACCATCATAATTACAAAAAATTGATAGGCTGCAGGCCTAACATCTAAAATCAGAATAAAAAGTAAGCATATGATATGGCTTGGGCTTATTAGACTTGAGTGCACCATGGGATAATTAGTCTCTGAAAGTAATACAACAGCTGATAAAAAAATGCGTCACCACTTAACTTTGTAAATTAAGTAAAATTTTGTAAATTAAGACACACTATAGTATATTCTTTTATAATCAAATGTAGGCTTTACCTTTTCCATCAGGGCTTGAATGAGTAAATGTCTACGCTAACAGCCAATTAATGTCTCAAAAACTGGGATTTAGAAGTACCGTCATTCGGGGCTATTTTGTGCAGCGGGGGCTACTTTGTGCAAATTCGAATTTGGCATTTTTCAAGTGCTGCTGTTCAGTACTATGTTTATTTCACGTTAAAAATGTGTGGAATTTGAAGATAGAAGTCTCTTCTATTACTACAAACATTNTATTTTTTATCCGCTTTATCAAAAAATGGCAGTAATAGTTCAACTGAGATTTCAAAATTCTGATCCCCTAATATTAAATTCATATTAAGTCCACACTATTTTTCGAAATATTCTATAAAATTAAACGTTTTGTTTTCATTAATTATTGCTAAGACCAATGTCCAATTGATATCTCTTCTCTATAGCTCAAATTCTAAAGGAACAACAATTGAATATAAAAACATATACAATAGTGTTTTATAAAAAAACATACACAATTTAAAAATACTCACAATAAAATTAAAGAAAGGAAAATACTCTTTGGTAAAAAAAAAACAAAAAACATTCATAATACTGTTAAGAATTCAATAAGAGCAATTATGGCACTTATTCAGATGAACAATGTGATCATACAACCCTATTTCTAGCTGAGGGAAACAGAAATACATTTGGCCATTGTTTACAAGTAACAATGTATATGGTTTCCTTTTGTTTAAACTCAAATGTTTTGAAATAAACTTTCTTTTAAAGAAAAAATTCTTCAGAAAAAATGTTTTTTTAGCGCTGAAAATTATTTTCAAACTAATATCTTTACACATCTTGATGTTTTTGTCTTTAAAAATGTCAACAATTAACTTTTCTAAAAATTTTATATCAATACGTATTTTACTAAAAACATGATTATTAAACTGAATTCCTATCGCTGCACAAAGTAGCCCCATTTGGGGGCTACTTTGTGCAAGGTATGTTTTGACTTATTATTCGTAAATATTACATACAAATAATGTCAATATTGATCAAATTCACTCGTCTGAGTCCAGTTATGAATATAATATCAATAAATTTTACTATAGTTTGAATTAACATAGTTTTTTTACGTGTCAAAGTTCAAAAACTGCGAAATCCTGCACAAAGTAGCCCTGAATGACGGTAGCAATTGAAATTTGCATTTACAAATATCAAGTGAATATAACTAAACTTGTAACTAGCATAAAAAAGTTAAATTGAAGTTCCAATATAGAAATCAGTTCAAATGCAATTTCAACCTGTTTAGGTCAGAACTCACGACATTTTTTCCCCCTTTCTATTTTACGGCTGGTGTGTTCCCCCTTAGAAATTCTATGCATCAGGGAGAGAAGGTACAACGGAAAAACGATCTATAGTGCCCACCAGATAATTAATATTCAATTGATTGGAATTCATATTCAAATGATATTATGAATTAAAACAGATTAGAGAAATAGTTTGAAAAATAAAGAAAATCTCACTTTGAAAAGAATGTTTAACAAAATACAGTCTTTTCCTTCTTTGTCTTTGAGGTGTGTTAGGTCATTATGAAGAGGACTGTCAGGATCAACTTTAAGAAGTTTTACATTCCATTCATATAGACTATCATTGACAAGCTCTACAGTAAATACGCCTAAAATTAAAATAAATAAATTAAATACATACATAAAATAAGGATATAATTTAAACTGACATCTTAAATCAAAATTTATTCTGAAAAAATAAAATACAGCGATCCCTCGTTTTTCCCGGCTAATAGGGACCAGAACCTTCCGCGAAAGCTGAAGAACCGCGAAGTAGGATTTGCCCCTAAGAATTTTCATGTATGTGGTTACACGAATGTTTTAAATATGTAAACAGTATTTATACTTTACACATTTAAGACAAAAATTACAATATACATATTTACTTAAACATGTCAATGCTAATTAATAAGGTTAATTACAAAACCTAATAGAGTAATAAACATTAATCAACCAATCACACGCCTTTATGAAAGTATATGTACTCTGAGTCAACTCATCTCTTTGTTTGACATGCAGGGATCCTACACTCTCGTGCATCAACATGAAACAACGCTCCTTTCATCAATGTAGTTGCCGACATGGCTGTATGTATTTTTCATTTTTATTTTCTGATGAATATTTTGGAAAAACCCGCAAAGCACTGAAGCTGCAAAACATGAAGAGTGAAGTGGCGAGGGAACACTGTACTATAATTTTAAATTTATTTCAAGTACAGATTTTTTTTCTCAGCCAAGTCTTAAATTGTAACAGTTTTACCTTTTTTTGCTGAAGCACTCTTGCTTTTGAAAGCACTGAAGCTGCAAAACATGAAGAGTGAAGTGGCGAGGGAACACTGTACTATAATTTTAAATTTATTTCAAGTACAGATTTTTTTTCTCAGCCAAGTCTTAAATTGTAACAGTTTTACCTTTTTTTGCTGAAGCACTCTTGCTTTTGAAAGCACTGAAGCTGCAAAACATGAAGAGTGAAGTGGCGAGGGAACACTGTACTATAATTTTAAATTTATTTCAAGTACAGATTTTTTTTCTCAGCCAAGTCTTAAATTGTAACAGTTTTACCTTTTTTTGCTGAAGCACTCTTGCTTTTGAAAGCACTGAAGCTGCAAAACATGAAGAGTGAAGTGGCGAGGGAACACTGTACTATAATTTTAAATTTATTTCAAGTACAGATTTTTTTTCTCAGCCAAGTCTTAAATTGTAACAGTTTTACCTTTTTTTGCTGAAGCACTCTTGCTTTTGAAAGCACTGAAGCTGCAAAACATGAAGAGTGAAGTGGCGAGGGAACACTGTACTATAATTTTAAATTTATTTCAAGTACAGATTTTTTTTCTCAGCCAAGTCTTAAATTGTAACAGTTTTACCTTTTTTTGCTGAAGCACTCTTGCTTTTGAAAGCACTGAAGCTGCAAAACATGAAGAGTGAAGTGGCGAGGGAACACTGTACTATAATTTTAAATTTATTTCAAGTACAGATTTTTTTTCTCAGCCAAGTCTTAAATTGTAACAGTTTTACCTTTTTTTGCTGAAGCACTCTTGCTTTTGAAAGCACTGAAGCTGCAAAACATGAAGAGTGAAGTGGCGAGGGAACACTGTACTATAATTTTAAATTTATTTCAAGTACAGATTTTTTTTCTCAGCCAAGTCTTAAANGGGCATTGTGTTCTGCTGTTCTCACCGGTTCTGAACAATACAGGTAAATAGGGAAGCTAGATAACAGGGATCCATGTTGCAAATAATGAAAGATCAAGGAAGAAAAGTGAAACGGATTTTATTCAAAATAGCAGAAGACGAAATTTTTTCCAAAATTCGCTCATTTTGAAATTGATTAATAGAGTGCGCGATCTTCTCGCGTTAATAAGTTTTTAATGCGAGAAAAGAAAAAAAATAAGCGAGATTCTCGCGTTCTTGCTCTGTAGTGAAAACACTGGTAGAAAATAGTGTCTCTGCAGTAACTGTGATGATATTCCATTAACACCAAAACATATTTTTGACTGCCCTGCCATTTTAAGATCCATGGCTTAGATTGGGGAATTCCCTCCCCCTTGACATCGAGAGTCTCCCCATGGACACGACACCAACCAACCAACTAGAAAAATCTATTTCTTCAAAGCATAATTACTGAAAATAATTAACATGGGAAATAACGTATCCTAACAGAATTTCACTTTATGTCCGAAAAATTGCAATAATTAAATTATTGCTTCGATGTTTAAAAAAAAGAGGAAAATATACATTTAGAGAAGGTCAAATTTTAAATTTAGCATAGACGGAGTAATTACAAAATGTTATGAAAGACTTATTAAAAAATTCCTATCCTACTGCAACCTATCTAGATATACTTTATTAGACAAAATTCTAATTCTTAAGTTAGATAATTTATTAGGCGTAAAGTTATTTTAACTTCTTCAGAATACTTTACTTGTTATAGGGTAAACATTACAAATAAATTACCTTTTATTTCAATTCATAAACCCTGCACATAAAAAGGTGTACCCTGATTTACAATTTAAGAGAGATTTTATACTCCACAACTTTGTATGAAAGAGCCCTTCTATCACTAAAGTAAAATAATTACCTGTTTTGTGAGCAATTCCATGCAAATAGCACCACCTCCGAGAACATATCCACCTGTAATCATTGGGTGAACGACTCTAATAAATGGAGGCTCAAATGGATATGCTTCCTGTAAAATAATGGTCATGACTTTAAATATACATTTTATAATTCACCAATTAAAACTAATCTAGTGAACTTTTTTTTATTTTTTAAAAGAACAGAACATAAGGTATATTTTAAAAGAAAATTTAATAAATTCGTGAGAAATTATCTGCATGTTTACTCATTTTGTGACACGTGAAAAATCTACTCATAATTCTGCGACTAGCATACTCGCCAACATAGGAGAAATAAAATAACAAAGATTTTACTAGTGACATTTTTTAGGCTATGAGTAAAGTTTTGATACATCATGCATAATTATGTAATCAAAAAGAGAAAATCAAAATTGAAAATAACATAAGCACCGAACGTAACATTTACCGAAGTAAAAAAATATGTATATAAATCTTTATCTAAAGAAGATTTTTTTTAAAACCATTATTTATAATTACTTAAACTGTAAACACTCAACTTACTGCAGTGCTGGCAATAGCACCATCTGTTAAGGAATAAGAGAGGTATTCTTGCCATCAGTGGATAGATTAAAGGCAATTTTTTAAAAAATTTCTTCAACAAACACAGAGAAATTTGAGAATGTACGGGTAAGCAGGAGATAGTCGTAAAATAGAGTCTTCGTTAAAAAACAGGAGACTTGGCAGGTGTATGGAATAGGTAAAATCTAGTCTCTTTTGCAAGGGGATCTCTTTTAAGCAGTTTTAGGTTCAAAATGATGAATTTAAAGCATGATTGGGTCTGATTTTTAAAAGAAAAGTTTTGTGGAGGGAATATTAGTAAAATACTTTGCGAATGATCCATTTTTTTTTTTGTTGATATTATGCGAAGGGTACATTTCAAAGATAATTTTTTTCATTACTAGTCTGTTAATGGATCCAATATTCTCCTGATCAATTTAACTTAAAGCTGGGTAAATACAATAATACAACTTTTGATTGTATTATTTGGTTTCTGAGCTAAGCAAACTAGACCAATATAACAATCAGGCATGTAATTGATGGAAGATATCTGAATTTGCTTTAATAGTTAAATTTTTATTTATTTTCAGAAAATAAATAAAAGGCTTAGTTTTATGCACAAGAGCAATATTTACAAAATTTAAAGTGAGAAACAAATTTTTTCCCTCATCAACACATAAAAGAATATGTAAATTGAAACTTTTTTAGATATTCCTCTTTTTACGAACTTCATAAGCAGTGAGATTCACGGCAATGACTGAAAAAGATGGATGATGAAATTAAAAGAATCAAGCACGCAAAAAAATAAATAAATAAAATTAATTATATGTATGTCTCGAGACAGAGGTGTTGCAATAAATAATTTTGTATCAAAAATAACAAGATTTTAAAAAATATACAATAATCATCCGTAATAACTGCAGAAAAATTGATTGAAAAAAAAAAAAAACAAGATAAATAGTGAATACACAAGCAGGCTAAAGATTTAAATTCCCTGTATCACAATATTATATTATAGGGACTTTCAAGAATCATGTGAAAATCAACAGCAATAACTACCAAAAAAGCTTGATCAAAACGCTGCATAGGTTTTGTGCAAATGGAGCGTATCAAAAAATAATTATTCAAATTCGCAATTCAAAATTTGAGTGCTATAATAATATCTGAATTTCGAAGACCAATTGATCGAATTACCTGCAAAAGAATAAAAGATCGAAAGTGATTACGGAAATGAAAGATGGAGAGGTGACATTAAATGTGATTTTCAAGATTGTAATGTCACATTAAAAACTTATCTACTTGTAGCCAAATAAAAAAAAAAGAGGACAAATATATCAGTTATTAAATAATTCTGTTACAAAATTTGCAACAAAATTGCTACTTATTAAAGTTATTTATTTTTTAAAAAAGAGAGGGAAAAAAACAAACAAATTTTTTTTGCTAATGATCTTTAAAATGTTTGCCCTTTAGGAATTACTTTTTAGATTATCAGTTTTATACCTTTATATTTGCTTCAGTAGTTAATTCTAGACGAAGTTACGGAATTCTTTTATGTCTCATGTTTCCGAAGTTGCGTTTTTTCCTAACAAATCTGGCTAAATAAAAGTCATCACACATAAACCTGAAGATAAAAAATGGTGTGTGGGGTAAGGGCGGAATAAATGTCTTGTAACTAAAATATAAATTTTAAATTAGCGGAGCACTGAGGAAATTTTATAGGAAAAAAAATTGATTCGCGGAAATCCGCATTCTTGTGATTCGCGGAATTTCGCAAAATAGGGAAGAATCACATGCCTGAACAATACTAGACCATCATAATTACAAGAAATTGATAGGCTGCGGGCCTAACACCTAAAATCGGAATAAAGAGTATGCATATGGCATGGGATAATATTGGACTCGAGCGCACCATGGGATAATTAGTCTTTAAAAGTAATACAGCTGATAAAAAATTTGTCACCATTTAACTTTGTAAATTTAGTAAAAAATTTTTAAATTAGGACACACTATATGTGACGGAGAAAAAGGTGTTTGTTTCTCCATCAGTAGCTGCACATTATTCGTATAGTGTAATATATGAATGTTCATTTGGGCCAATATTGAATTAATAAAACAATTAAGTTTCCAGGAAATAATGTACAAATCGTTGAATGTAAATTTAGGTTTTATTCATCATAATTTAAGATTTCGACAATGGCCACATCTTCATCAAAAATAGGAAATCCCTTAAAGGGATGAAATCAGAAAAATACTCTCTATTGAGAGATCATGCAGCCAGAATACATTTTCTGACCGTTAGAAATTGAGACTGGGGAGGCCCCCAAAGGGGTCCCAGCCTCACCAATTTTGAAATTAAAAGTGAATATATTTATTCTCAACGGACAGAGAAAGTATGGGTAGGAGATCCAAAATTGGCGATTAATCACAATATACCATAGCCAAAACAAAGCCAACTAGCATATCAATATGGGTTTAAAATAATACCTTGGCGATCATGAGTCGCCAACAAATTTATGTGAATTATTACAACCATGCAATCGAAACATTTAGCCGTTGGAAAATGAGAAAAAAAAGTTCTAAATAGATTTTTGTTTTCGATTATAGGCGACAGTGAATTAATATGTCTGCCTAGTAATGAAATAAAAAAAGTATCCGTTACATTGATCTAGAAGAGAAGAAATCAATATTTTATGCTCGTTTTAAAAAGATTAAGTTTGTGATTTATTTAAAATATAATTCTATTAATAAAAAAATAAGCTTAAGTAATGAAAGATATTTTAAAAGGATAGAAAATAAATATGTAATGCCAATTATGGCATCACACTATAGTATATTTTTTATAATCAAATGTAGGCATTACCTTTTCCATCAGGACTTGGATGAGTAAATGTCTATGCTAACAGCCAATTAATGTCTCAAAAACTGGGATTTAGACGTAGTAATAGAAATTTGCATTTACAAATATTAAGTGAATATAACTAAATTTGTTACTGTCAAACCCCACTATAATGAACACAGTTTATAGTGAGCTCCAGGATATCGTGAACGAAATGTTCGGTCCCGTGCCTAGCTATGCACGTATGTTATTTTTTTGTGGATATAGTGAACCAAAAAGTGGGGAAGTTGGATATTATGAACTTTTTCTGACTTCGACTGATTTTCTTTCTTCATCTTTTTGTAATAATTTCTAAATGTCTACTTCAAAATAAATACTTATACTGATTTTTAAAATCATCTATAGAGTGGATCCATACTGATGATATAGCAATAAGCATCTTTTCTTATTTGCTACTTTTATCTCACTTTCCCATCCATAAATAAGACCAACTCAGGCAGATGTATGGAAAAAAATTTTCCTGAATCAGCTTAGCATCAGCTAAAGATTTGCAATTTCTTTTTCGTACACAAGACGAAGAGTAATGTAAAATAAAAATAAGTTAACACATTTTTTGTTACTACGTATTATTTTTCAGTCATTTTTGTATTTCAGTTTAATGGTCATTTATTTAAATAATGCAGAATAAAAAAAAGGAGTTCTTAACCATTAGTTAAAATTTTTTGAAGAACTTATATAGTGAACTCCCGGTTATAGTGAACCGAAATTTCGGTCCCTTGAAGGTTCACTATAACGGGGTTTGACTACAGTATAAAAAAGTAAAATTGAAGTTACAATACAATATAGAAATCAGTTCAAATGCAATTCAACCTGTTTAAGGTTAGAACTCAGGCATTTTTCTTTTATCTATATATTTTACGGCTGGTGTGTTCTCCCTTAGAAATTCTAGTTCTCCCTAGAAATAGTTTGAAAAATAAAGAAAAGCTCACTTTGAAAAGAATGTTTAGCAAAATACAGTCTTTTCCTTCTTTGTCTTTGAGGTGTGTTAGGTCATTATGAAGAGGACTGTCAGGATCAACTTTAAGAAGTTTTACATTCCATTCATATAGACTATCATTGACAAGCTCTACAGTAAATACGCCTAAAATAAAAAAGAATAAATTAAATACATAAAATATGGATATAATTTAAATTGACATCTTCAATCAAAATTTATGTCGGAAAAAAAAAACTATAATTTTAAATTTATCTCAAGAAGTATAGATTCTTTTTTCCAGCTTAGTCTTAAATTGTCGCAGTTTTACCTTATTTTTAAAAGAGATTCAAGGATATTCAAAATTAATTCGAAGATTTAAAATCATAAGAAATTTACGTTTTTAAATTACTTATTGGATGTGTTGCATAAACAGGCTATTGACATAAAGAATAATACTTAAATATTTTTAAAACATATACAAGGAGATTCAAACAAAACCTTTTTTAAAGCTTTCAGAACGATACACCTCTCGAAGCTCTTTCATTAAACGGTCTGTTGCTTGTACAGATCCTGAAACAGAACCTCTGAGGTAATCTTGGCGTTGGTTTTGGCGCAGCCTCTCTAGGGTAGCTGTGTGTTCACTACTGATTCCTTCATCTTTATTTTTTTCTGGACTGCAAAGTGAAAAAAATAATTTTAAGTGAATGTTATCTTTAACACTAAAAAAGGAGCACCCTATTACAGAGTGTGTAGCCAAATTATTCCAGAACTCATTCTAGGCAGAAAAAAGGGCAGGGTGCAAAAGTTTAAAAAAAGGGCATTATTATTCTAAAAAAGCAATAATTTCGTCCTATAGGCTTTACACGTTCTATTAAAAAACATTATCAATTAGTAAAAGAATTTTTTTTTTTTTACTTTACAAAAAGTAGCAAAGCAATTGTATTAATTACTAATTTTTATTAATAAATTAACATATCTATCGAATTAATTAGCTAAGTACAAGTAATTTATTTAAAATGCGTGCATACATTGATAAAATAATAAATGTATGTTCTTAGGTGTCTGTAGTTATGATTTAATAATTAAAATGATTAATAATAATTATGATTTAATAATAATGGAAGTAACTGCAAACTTTCAAAGACAAGTGCAACAAGGGGGTTTCATGGCCATCTTTCCTTTCCCTTATAAATCTATGTATTGACAGCAATGATAAACTAAATAAAAAGAGTTAAAAATAACAAAAGTTTAAGAAATCCACTGTAGAGTTTGGGGAAAAAAATAAAGAATGGTTGAGGAAAGAAAGGGTATGGAGTCTGTTACATCAGGGCACTAATTTACTATAGGGGCAACAGGGTGGATTATTTTGATTAAAAGGGCAACAGGGTGCTGCGCCCTGTTTACCCTGCCTAGAATGAGCTCTGATTATTCAATAAAAAATAAGCATCTTTTAAGCACTAAAAAAATCTTTTTAAGCGCTTAAAAAATCATAATTAGGCAGGGTCGGAATGTTTTTGACAATTGACGGTTTTATCTTGTTTTAACCAAACCGTTTTATGTCAACAAAAAAAAAAAAACCTTACGGCATTGTTTTTGACAATTGTGAAAAATCATGAAATTTTAAATCATGTAAAACGAACGGCGTTTTCATACGCTACAGACTGACAATACACCGAAATAGATTGGGTTGGATAGAACAATGTGAACAGTGGCTTTTTGCATAATTCGTAGCAAAAATCAACATGGTAAAGGGAAAAATCTCATTTCGAAAAAGGGAAAATTAAGCACTTTTTTAAAACACCCAATGAAAAAAACCACCTCTAAGGGCTTTTAAAAAACGAAAATAAGCACCTTTTAAAAACGCTACGCACCCTGTATTAAGACGTGATAAAACATTGCTAAAATAATAGCAAGAAATACAAAATGTATATAAATAAGCAATTTAATAAATTATTATCCACTACATTTAGTTTATTGCATAATTCAAATAAGAAACAGTCAGCCAATAAAAATTAATGACTTTTTTTTTATTAATAACTTTTCACATTTCTATCTTTTTTATCATTACATGATAAGTCTCTTAAAAGTCAAAAGTAATACGATTTATAAAAAAAAGACTTCACTTAGATTAACAAACTGAAACTAAAAACAAATGATATTCTAAAACCCATAAAAATTGAAAATGAATAATAGTCATCGAAGCCCTATTATATAGCTATATTTACCATGCTATTTTCAATGAGCTTCATTTTTAGAATTATAATAAAGACTGAATACTTTTAGATAAAAGATTTAGAAATTAAAACTATCAGTAATGAAGTCAAAGTTTTTTGATGAAAATCTTTGCAATATTTTCTAATAAATGTCAAATAAACTTTTAACATAAAAATACTGTCTGATGTCTATTAATTTTTAGATTATTTTGTAAGGCTATAAATATAAATGAGCAAAAAAAAAATAAATAAATAAATAAATAATTAGTATATCAATTTTTGACATAAATTTAACCAAACTCTAACATCAGAAAATGTTATTAGTACCAGCATTTTTGGAAAAAATTATAACTTTCAAATACCACTAAGACAGATTAAGCATTTTTTCCTTATTTTTTGAATAAAATTCTCAGCTCTTAGACTACCATGATAATGTACTGAAATACACAAAGGGTCTGTTTAAAAGAAATTTGAGTTCGTTAACGGACCCTTCACAAAATATCTTTTCACAAAATATTTTAACTTAAAAAGGGACCCTTCACAAAATAATTTATCTTTTAATCGAATCCTTCACAAATTTGTCTATCTTCATTATTGTTTTGTTAATCATATAAAGCCTTCCCAAGGGGGAAAAAAAGAAAAACTATGTAAACGAATTAAGTTTTGTCTTAGGCAAACGTTTCTTCCATTATTCATTTGAAATGAATATTTTGCGTTCAGCAGTATAGTCTAAATACCAAATATTTGCAAGTTGCATCTCTAATTTAGTAGCAGCAATTGCTGCTTATTTTTAAAAATTTAATTTTTTTGTATTAAAATTTTACAGTGTTGAGTATAATCTTGTATCTATTTAAATTTAAAAACTCCTTGAAGAAGTTTTTTGCAATAACAGGACCCTATTTGCACAAATTCATAAAAGCAGGACCCTGTTTGAAAGAATGTGACTTTACATTTATTTTATATTCACAAATTATGAGTAATTCTTTAACAATTTAAGGAAAACAGGACCTTTCTCAAAATATCTGGACAGACCCCTGACGCAGATGAAAATTCTATTAGAACATCTAATTGTTTTCATACATCAACCAAAGAAATTTAATGAATTTCTGAATATTAAAAAATAATAGACTTGAAAATTACCTAGTATCTTCTTCCATCTCAATATGAATGTCATCATCTATTTCTTCTTCATCTTCAGAATTACTATCCACTATCTCATCTTCACTAACCTAAAACATTAAACATATTTATAAATGTCTAGCAAAAACACTTTTAAAAAAAAAATTCATTATAACCCAACTTTAATTACCAATTTTGAGGAAGAATCCATAGGTGAACAGAAATACAGAATCTATAGACCAAGGGTTTCCAACTTACATGAGGCCGGGGGCCACAATTAAAAACACAAATCAAATGGCGGGTCGCAACTTTAACAAAATTTTATTTAGGACTCTTTTATGTTTGAAGGAACATTAAATATTAATGTCAGATTTTTATCAAGTTGTACAAAACAAAAGTATTGAATTACAAATTAAAATAAGAAGTAGATTTTTAAAAATATTTAATTGCATATTAAAAAATTCTGGCTACAATAACTTTAATGTGCACCTATTTGTTAAACAATTAATGTGCAACAAATATCTAATTGTTAAGATATAAAACTTCAAAAAGGTTAGTATTGAATGTTCACAAAATGATCAATGACAAAATTGAGGTTTGTCTGCTGCAACCACCAGAGAACAGATATTTACATTTAAAATTTACAAATGTGTGTGTAAATATTTTCGTCCAAAATGAGTGATTTCAAAAAGTTAAATCAGAGAATTTCGTCGAGAAAATTTCTGATACAAACATGTTACATTATATTCACAAAATACAAAAAAATAAAAAAGAGCAACATACATGATTATTTTTGTATTTGAATAAATAATTTCTTGGATGCGAAACCTGAAAGAAATTTTTTTTTGCACCGTTGGTATGATAAATTTCACAGAAAAGAAGAAATTAGGTTTTTATTAACGAGAAAAGTATTTTAAACCCACATAGATTTTTTACAAAAATTGTTCGCAAAAAAATGACAACTAATGTATTTTAGTTAGCGGGCCACAAAAAAAAGGCTTCCCGGGCCACAAGTTGGAAATCACTACTACAGACCACGGACAAAAAGAATGGCAAGCCTGCCAAACTTCTACCCTTTTTGAAAGAATTTCTTCTAGAGGTAGTTAAGTTTTTAGGCTTCAATGTATTATTCTTTCTTTTATAAATTTAATTTTAAGTTACTTTTTTCACCAAAGTAAATGATTCAAAAGCCTATATAAAAAGCCACTTTGCTCCAACTCTTTCGTAGTTAAGCTTTTAAAATGTTGGCAAAATTATCAAATATTCTGTAAGTTTTAGTTTTGAAATTGTCTACCACTCGATAAAATATAAACAACTCGATAAATGTAAACATTTTCCATAATTTGTTTCTCTCTGTAAATATTTTTTACTTAAGAAGTTGAAGATAAAAAGCTCCATTTGAGGATTTATTTCGTAGACTAGCATGAAAAATTTGAGATTTTTTAAGCCCTGGCAATCAATATTAACCAATTATAGAACTATTAATAAGAAAATAATTTCATAATATTAACTAGAAATTAAAAAAAACATAAATATGTCTAGCACATACTTATTATGATACATCTAATTAAATTACTACACAACTTTTCAACTAAACAAAAAAAGTTGGTAAAATTTTTTGTAGTTACAATATTGTTCATAAGGTTAAATGAATTAAATGCAACCTACTTGTGCAACAACTGTAGGCTGAAGATGATTTAACTCCACAGGTTCTTGTAAATTATGCAATCTGCATAATTCACTAACTAGCAGCTTAACTTGCTGTGGAACCTATAAATAATAATGGAATGATTAAAGAAACAAAATTATATGTCAGAAATTATACTCAATTATCCTCTAAGGAACAGTAACTATACTTTAACAGGACGGTCAAGAGATTTCCATTTGACCACCCACGTTAAAGTGAAATCTCTTCTATGTTAAAAGGATAACAGAATTCAAAAGAAAAGATTTTTTTTTTTTAAAAAAATGCAGCTATTATTATAATTATAAATAAGATAGTTTTTTAAATATTAAAAAAAAAAAAAAACTCACCAAATTATCACGACCTGACGTATTTATTAATATCTGAACTGCATTCGTTATACATGGTTCTTCAGTTTCAGCAAACCAGACAGGTGGTGTTGAAGGGTAAGTTTCCTAAAAATTACAAAAGCTTACATGTTATTTACAAATCATCAATTGCAAAAACTTGAGTAGAGCAACAAAACTACTAATTTTTAAATTAAATATGTAAACCTCTGTAAAATCCAATCAACTTAAATAAAACAGACACCAAAAAATAAGTAAAATCCAATGAAGCTCAATAAATAAACCACATACAATCCATACGACTTAAAAACTTTTTAATAAAAAAAATAAATAAATTAAAAAAAAACTTAACAGTTGCTTGAGTGACTTGATTGCCTGCGGTCACAATTCATGATTATTACAGTTTACAAATTCAGTTTCTCTGGAACCTTTAGTCTCCTTCGAGATTTACTACATTTCGGTAGGTGTTAGATGTTTGAGTCATTAAACTGCCTCGATTCCTCAGAATGATCCATGACTATGTTCTACAAATATGGAAGACCATTTGAGGTGGGGATCTCCAATAAGTATACTCTTTGTATTGGACGAGGTAGTTCATTAGTCGATGTCTATACTTTAACTAGACGACTTCTCTGTCTCTCCCGAGAATCGGTTGCAAAATCCATTCTAAAGGCCAGTCCATAGCGTACTACTATTTGAGACAGACCAAATTTTACACTGTGGTGTAAAATTTGGTGCCCCAGCCCTGGTGGCCGGGAGAAAAGTGTTGCTCCTAGGAGACTCCTCAATTCAATTGATACTAAACTGAAAATAGCCAAAACACTTCAAAACTACTTTTTTGTAAATGCATGCTTAGGGGAAAGTAGTTAAAATGGGTGTAAATGAAAATTGAAATGAGTCAGATGACTGTTGTGTTTTTTTTTATAAGATGATTGTTCTTGTATTTTTATTTTCAACAATTGTTGTATTTTTATTTTCAACAACCGAATACGGGTGATACGGCAGTCAACGTGTTTAAAAATAGTCGGAATCTTTAAAAAAATAATCAATGGTTGCTTCAGGCTTATCTTTACAATACTGCTCTAGTCTAAGTAATCAAAAATTAACTACAGCCTATTTCTTTTCTTAAAGACAACAAAACACCATCGACATTTTCCATCCCCTCTTATTCATTGCTCATTTTCTCCTTTCCAATAAAAATAATAAAATGAGTCTTGATTTGAAGATTTCCATGAAAAAATAATTAATCATAAAAAATAGTTGAAATTTGCCTTTGGCTAAGACTTTTAAAATTTAGCTAATTTGTTGGCTACTAATTTTATGTCTTTAGCGCCAGCCCTGCATGTTGTTCACAAGTCACAGTTCTGAGGTTCTCCAGAATGATAGATGTTCAGTACCATAAACATGCATTAGTTCTTTGGAAGTTGCCACTGTTTAGAGGTAGCTGTTATCGGAAGTTTAGCGTTTACACCTCAAGTTTAAAAAATTTAAAAGTAATTCGAATAAATACTTTTTTTGAAATGCTGCTTCGTGACATTTGCATTTACTCTAATTTTCAATAACTTTCAGAAGTTATAGAAATTTTTAAAAATTAAAAACTCTAGTGTTACAATAGGCATGACATACTTTGTCATGCCAGCCAGTCATTTTTTATTAAAAAAAAGAAATTTAAAAAATAAATAAGAGTTTGATTAAGTGTAAATGACACGAAGAGTTATTTTAACAAAAATCGTAAGCAGAGGCATCCATAGAGCTTCTCCTCTACATTATATGTGTTGATCAAAACTTCGATAATGATATGAATCTTGCTGGACAATGCTCTCAGTAAGAGAAGTTGGGTTAGGATTAGAGATATCATTCCAAAACAACTTGCCTTCTCAGGCACCAGGCAAAATCTGAATCCTATACTTGGCTAGTTTCTGTACATAGTAAAAATTAAATTAATACCTAGCCTATTATTGGATATATTATTCCAAATATATTGTTGGATTAAACATACTCCAAAATTGCACACATAGCAAGAGAAAAGAATTTATAAAGAAGAAGAAAAGACTGACAATAAATCCCAAATTGACTGACAATAAATCCAAAATTCTTAAAAACTACTAGATTCAATCAAAAAATATCAAACTCAATAGATAAAAAAAATTTGATAACTGTTTCAAACCCCAAATATTGATCACTAATATGTATCTAAGCATATTAGAATGAATAAGTATTAGTGTATATACCTCAAGTCAAAAAAATTTATAAGTAGTTCTAATAATTTTTTTTGAAATAGTGCTTCGTGACATTTACTCCAATTTTCATTAACTTTCATAGTTATAGAAATTTTTAAAAACTCTAGTGTTACAATAGGCGTAATATACTGTGTCATGTCTGTAATAGTCATTTTTAATTTATTTAAAAAATAAATAAGAGTTGGAGTAAGTGTAAATGACACCAAGAATTATTTTAACATAAATCGTAAGATAGTATACAGATTTTAAAACACTGCTCAATTTCTCCTCTACATTATAAGTGTAGATCAAAACTTTGATAATGCTGTAAATCTTGCTGGGTAATGCTCTTAGTAAGATAAGTTGAGTTAAGATTAGAGACATCATTTCAAAAAAATTTGCCGACTCGGGTACCTGGCAAAAACAGAATCCTATACTTGGCTAGTTTCCGGTTACCTAGTAAATATTAAATTAATACATGACCTACTAAATAAATATCAATATATTCCAAATATATTGATGGATTAAACTTACTCCGAAATTGCACACATAGCAGGAGAAAAGAATTAATAATGGAGAAGAAAAGACTGGCAATAACTCCTAAAATTTCATAAAAACTACAAGATTCATTCAAAAATGGCAAACTCAAAAAATAAAAAACATTTGACAACTGTTTCAAAGCCCAAATATTGTTCACTAATATGTATCTAAACATTATAGAATAAAAGAATATTATTAAATTCTTCTTTTGATTTTTGTGGAATTAAATATCATTGGACTATGACTTATAATTGAAACTTCACTATCAAAATTGCTATCTGAAAACAGAGAGAGTGGTATTTGTTGAGAGTGGTATAGAGTTCAATTTTAAATCTAGTCCATGATTTTTAGGAGAAAAAACTATCAACTAAATCTGACAGGAACAAGAATTTCATATTAGTCAAGAAATCACACATTAGAACCCTAAACAGTGTATCAACAACTCAATTTATTTCATTCCTGAAAAAATGCTTAAATAAAAGTGGTATTTAAAAGAATGCTATACTGCTGAAAAAGTCCTTCATGCATGGCAAATTCTATATCAACTATACTAGTTATTCAAAAATTTGAAGTTTAGAAAAAAAACAAGAGTTCAGGAACTTTCAATATGAATTCAAAAAATGATGTTTGTTCATTAAAAAAGTTTCCTTTTGGCATGTAATTTAAAGAAAAAAAAGGCATGTCAAATTTATATTTTCCAAGTATTAGTTTGAAGCTGTAATGTAAAAAGTGATAAGGATACTTGTTTTTAAATTATTAGCAAAGGCATAGCATGAGGTGGGAACACCTTTCTTTTCAGAAAACTTTTCGTTATATAGATGTTTATTTCACATAGTTTTTTATTTTATTTTATAACCTTCGTTAAACAGCTGACCCAATTTTGGGTTTATAACTACGAATGTTCAACTCCAAAGCCTTATAATTTTGAACCCAATCTAGAAGACAAGGAAACTCCTGGATCAGTACGCCCAAGAGGTATGATTTGTTATGGGAACATTGAGGACTTAGTGACACGACACATTTAACGTGCAGCAGTCACCATTTACTACATGGGTAGTCTATGGCAGATGGGGATCAAACCCACGACCTCTTGGACATGGGCCCAGTGCCCTACCAACCAGGCTATCCATGCTTTTAAATAATTGTATACATAAAAGTTAAAATTTTTCCTAAACACAAAAAGTGCTCCCCCCTCAAGCTACGTCAATGAATACTAAGTCTAGTGCAGTGTTTCCCAAAGTGTGGTACGCGTACCACCAGGGGTACGGGAACAGTTCAGCGGGGGTAAGCATTCTTATGCGAAATATCTTGCAACAAACAAAAATTTCAAAACATTTGAATTAAAAACAAAGCTAGCCATGAAAATGTACGATTACATATTTTTCTATTGGCTATTTTGCAGAGTTAACAGGTAATAATTAGTGGTGTCAACAGCCAGTTGTGATTTTTGACTTTTGTGTAGTTTTTTTATAGTAAAAAATACATTCATTTTTTAATTAATGGTACACAGCATTATGAAAAACTAAGAAAGGGTACACAAAAGTCATAAGTTTGGGAAACACTGGTCTAGTGTAATACCACAACCAAAGACAAAACAGGATAAAATAATTCAAAAATCTTCTTTTAAATAGATTAGGTGAAGAATAGTTAACAAAGGATGGCAACACACTGAAGTCTAAAACAAGTATGAAAAACATCTTTCCATTGTTATATAATTTTAGAGCAAAGCTATAATATAAACAATGCAATAAAATAAGCAACTTTATCAATTTTGCCAACATTATTCGTCGAAATGTAAAATTTTTATTAATTTCTTATTACTCAATAATCTTAAGTTTTTTAAAAAATAAAAAAAAGATTTGAAATTCATATTCATTGATTTCAGTAATATCGTTAATACCGATCAATAGATCTTCGGGGATATTGTCTGCTAATAAAATTTTCCTTAATTCCCAGATGAGACAATAAAATTTTTCCAAGGACTAACTTTGTAAATATTATTCCAAACAATCAACTAACATCACAAGTAAACTCGCCCGTACCTTATTAGGTCGTGATTATGAAATCATAAAAACTGGCCTACTTAAAATATATATATCAAACATAAACATATAACAAAGGATTAAAATGGCATTTATTATTTGATCATTTCAGTACAAACATAGATACTCAGGATTTATAGAAAGAAAAAAAAATTGCGATGCAAACAATTTTTCCGAATATTTCACAAGAGAACTTTAGAAATATAATTTTTCACCATATGGCTTAAATAAGTATTTTATTCGTAAAAATGAAAGCAACTGACCCAATTAAGATAAGAAAAGTAAAATAATTAAAACTTTTTGCGATAGAAAAAATATCAAAATTATTTGCCAGACTTACTGTAATGTTTGCATGAATGTCATACTTTTTCCCGTTGCGGGATATAAATCTGCATGTTAATTCATCTACTGAAGCTGCAGTTATTTGGAACAATTCATGTCCTTTTGGGAAAAGAGTCTCTAAAGTTTTAATGTCCTGTTTTAAATTATTCAGACACGCCATATCTACAAATTTTCACTAATAGAAAACAGAAAATTCATTGGGTTAACTATACAAAAAAAAAGTTAACAATGAAAGCAAGAAAAAGTGGACATTTCACAAATACTTATACTAAATAGCAGAAATATCGGAATGTGCACATATTTAACATATGCAAACAACAGTTTCAATCATTTATAAATCCAATTTATAAGCTGCACAATTAGAAAAACAACATTTCTATATCTACAATATGGCGGCGCACACAACAATTTCGACAGAGCATGCGCCAAATCGTCATTTAGTAAACAATAAAACTTTTCTTCTTGGTTCCAGTAATATGAATGTAATTTTTATAATTATTTTTTCTCAGAAAATGACCCAGAACAATGCTTCAAACTCGTAAAAAAATAAGTATAAAGTGTGAGCGTACTTAATCAACACAATCTCACCTGAAAAATAAAATTAATCTGTATTTCATAAATAAATTATTGACAGTTTGATATTTTTTGCAACCGCGCTTTCTTGTCCTTTTAATTCTATTTATTTATTTTTTGACAGTCAACAGTTCGGCTGGTTTTTTACAGAACTCAATTTTTATAAATATTATATTTAATTAAATATTTGATTTGAATTGATTTCCGTTCATTATTGTTTGAAATGCACGATACTGATACAATTGAGGCTATTGAAAGTCGCATAAAAAGCTTAGAAGACCTCGTATATGGAAATTCAGCTCCAGATTCTGAGAATAAAGTATGTAATTTTTTACTTAGTGTTTAAATTTAAATCAAACAATGTTCAACAAGTTAAGTTTCAAAGACATTTCTATGTTTGCAATTTTTTCTTTTAATGCTAATATTCATGTTCTAACTTCTGAAATGGACTTAAATAAATTCAATCTTTTGAATCTTTACAATGCATGAATAATATTGTTGTATCCTTATGAATTCGTGAATATGAGAATGGAATAATGTATAATATAATTGGAAATAATGTGAGATTTGAAAAACACAACATTAAGCTTTAATAGGAAAAGAAACAAATTGAGAGTACAACATAACAGATGATCTAAAGAAGGGGAATTCTCCCCCACCCCCAGGTGGGATATTTCCGTATTGTGATCTGTCGCGCCAACTACAATCGCCAAGGAGCCAAATAGAATTTAAACTGGAAAATTTTTTTTAAAAAAAAGACATGTAGATGTTTGTTGTGGGGTGGCTATGAATTATATCTTTCCAGTTGGTCCTTTCCTGTGATGTTTTTCTTAGTTTCTTGCTGGCCACTGCCCGGAAGTTTCCAAGACTTAGCGATTATTCTGCCACATATCACGATACGGAAATCTCCCCATGGTGGTGACATAAAAGTTTAATATTAATGATAATCTCTAGGTATTCTATTGCACTCAAAGTCCCATCTTGAGACACTTGAACATGCACCTCCCTCAGTGGAGTGGGAGGGGATATCTGTTGTGCCAACTAAAATTGCCACGGTGACAAATAGATTTTAAGCTTGAAAATTTTTTAAAAAAAAATATGTGTATGTTTTGCCCGGGGGTTGCTACGGTTATTCTGCCGCAGATCACGTTACGGAAATCTACCCTGTGGGAGCGTTGAAAATAACCTTCATTTGCTTCGGAATTCAAATCTGAAGAATTGCTTGGAATATTTAATGAGGGTACTTGTATAGAATTTAGCTGGTTAATGTGGCGCTTATGAATATGTCCTCTGAATCCAATTTGACAATGTAATGGTGCGATCCAGTCTGCGAGTTACAATTCCGTCTTTCCACACTTCGGAATTGTATTGATACATATACACTTGAACTCTCTCCCCCACTTGGAATGAACACACATACGTAGTAAAAACTTTTCACTTATGAAAATGATTTGGAAAAATAGCATTTAATTGTGTCCGAAACTTTCCGTATAGGTTTAGTTGAGCTGGAGAGTTTCCTCAAGTAAGTGTAGAACAATAGCAATAAAGAATTCTGTGCACTTTCTCTTATAAACTTCCTGATTCCCTGGATATTGATTCTAGTTGATGTTTGAAAATTTAAACATTTCATTGTACTAAGGCTTTTATGGCAGGTGCGATGAAGCATTGGAAAATACTGTACTTGGAGTTATATACATGGTACCTGCGCTCCTGGAAAGTCATGAAAATTCATGGAAAGTCATAAATTTCAGTATTAAAAAAATTTTGTCATGATTTTTACTATTTTTAAAAAAAAATCGTGGAAAGTCATGGATTTAGGTTGCTGAAAAATCTAATTTTTAAAATGAAATCCCCCCCTCCTCAATTTCATCCTGCTCCAAGTACCTGAATTCCTAACAAAATCACTACTAGCAGTCATATTTTATTAGAATATAAAATGTCTTAATCGTGTTCTTTAAAAATTATGGTGTTCTTTCAAAAAATGAACGAAAAAACTTAATTTCTGGAGCGAATTATCTTTTAAACTTCTGTGATTTAAGAATTTTTATTATTTATTAATTTTTTTATCAATTTAAATTTCAAGCCGAAGCAAGCCAATCATTGGCGAATTTTTTTTTAATTTCGAAATGAGAATAGACAAATAAGGAGTATTTCTTTCCTTTTCTGATGAACAAGAAAAGTATCTTATGCTTATAATTCTGCAGAAAAAAAATTTTGATTTTGTATTTTTTTCCCCAGCTATTTTATTGCTTCAACTCTTTCTTTACTCTATTTTTTAAATTTGAAATCTATAAATATGAAGATGTAGAGTATAACAGTTTTGGTTATAATTATCATTTCAGTTATTATAATGCTTTTTTAAATTTATTGTTACATTTGGAGAAAATAGTAACTTCTTTAAGTCATGAAAAATTCCTGGAATTACTCATGGAAAATTATGAAAAGTCATGAATTTGAAAATCTAAAATGTAGCAGATACACTGGATTCACCACTTGTAAAGATAATTTCATTGTTAGAAACCATTATATTCTAGGGAAATCCATGAAAAGAAAAGATGTCATTTAAAAATTGATACTAGAAATATAGATTTAGCATCAACGCACAATAAAAAATTATAGAAATTAACTTAATCTATATAAATTCTTTCCTAGTTATATTCTGGATCATCCAAGGGTGTATAGCAACTTTTGGTGAATTTTTTCGAAATTTAATACAGTCCTTGCAAATTTTTACAATATTTTCAATAACTCCCATATTACAATTTAATCAACAACATATTTGTTAAGTTGAATTAATGAATGTTGAGTTTAATAGATTAAGATGCAGTTTTAGGAACAATAATAAAAAAGTCAAGGTGACGAAATGACTTGTTGTAATAAACTAAATAATAACAAAGAAAGAAGAAATGTCAATGGGAGGTATTCCAAGATTATAGGACACATGCTCATCTGAAAAAAGCAACTCCTTTGAAGGGTTTGTGTTTATTAAAATTAGTTAATTAATTTCCGGAAGAAAATTCTTTAATATAAGTAGACTGATTATTTGAAGAAAAAAAAATCCATAGTTATTTTGATTCTTTATTTTTAGTGTGTGGAAACTTTAATGAATGTTCAAAACAAGTTACAGTCTGCTGTCACTGGAAGAGAAAAGATAACTACAGTATTTTCTAAATGTAAGAGTTACTATTCAGTGTTTTTTTAAATATTTACTTTCTCCAACTATTAGAGTAACCAGATGTCCTAAAAGTGATGGGTTATTTGAAAAGCAGTTTAAAGAAAAATAAAAGAAGATAGAAATTTAGAGTTTGTTATGTTCTGTTTAGTCCTTTCTCTCTATTTTTGTTAAGTCCTTTACTCCATTTTTGTTAAATCCTTTACTCCATTTTTGTTAAGTTCTTTCTTTACTACTAATACCTCTACAAATATAGGTACCTCTTCTGGCTGGAAGAATTCAAATCTCTTTTTCTTGTCACACTATTCTAATTTAAATACTTTGAACGGCATCTATTAATTTTAATTTTAGACTGTCTTGTTGATGCAAATGGTGATTATTTTGGAAATTTTCCATTACAGTGCCATCTATTGACAAACTCTGTAACTTATTTTGATACTTTGTGAGAAATTCTGATTATCCAAGCACAACACATTAAAATGTGCATTTCTATCTCTTTTCATTTTTTCTTTCATTGATTTTTCACATTGTCATCATTTTTGGGACACAGTATTGACCTAGCAGATAAGCTTTTACTATAAGATAGCTTTCGATAATATTGCAGCCCCTAAAATGTTGCTTATATTTAATAATTTTTTATTTTGTATTAATTAAAATCAATATTTTAGTGGATGATCTGGAAAAATATTTAAATCCAGATTTTAAAGAGAATGTGACTTTAACTGACCCAGTAAAAACGAATTTGGTTCTTCTAGGTGAGTTTGCATCTGCTTTGTTCTAATTATATTTAGTGAATATTACTAAACATGTTTTAAAGTGAAATTTTTTTTAACTTATTTATTTGCAAAAATATTTAATGTAAAAAAAATTAAAAGTTGCAATAAAGTATACCAAGTTTTATTTATTTATATTCTTCAAAAGTTTTGAAAATAAATGTTTGAAATACACTGAAAATACACACATTATATGTGATAAAAAATGCTGTGAGAAAAAATAAAAACATTTGCCACCTATGACATTTTATTAAAATTCTTTGATCCTATTTCTGTTGTTAAGTTTCTGTTCCAATATATCTAAAAATTTTATGTCTGTGGTATTTTGGTAGATAATTCAGATGACCCCTGTGGCAGAATCGCAGCGACATTGTTACAGACCATTACAGAGTTCTTGCAGAAAGTTTTCGTTTCTACAGAAATTAACACATAAAATTTGATTCATACATTAAGATAATCAATAACTTTTTGGCTCTTTCAATTTACGTAGATAGTTTCTTATGTTTTGATTGCATTTTTGGCAATTATTGATCTTGATTTTTACGTGGTTTTTAAATATCTCGATATATTTCAAACAATATGAGAAATTCGAATCGAGCATTTGTGTATTTACTTTTTAAGACCATGATTCTATCCATTTTTTGGCTGTTGTTGCTATTGGTTTCTCCATAGATTTTAAATCCAATATTTTTTGTACAATATTGTTTATTACACCAACTCAATCTCGAAATGAAACACAATTAAGTAATCCCTTTTTGAGGAATCTGATTCGCGTGATTTTGTCGCCGATCTTTTTATCGGCAATTACTGCTATGAATATCATGATTTTTAATTGTTTTTTTTATTGTGTTCATTATTTACAAAATACGAAGTAGAAAATAATGAATGAGTTTGTCCCCCCCCCTAAGAAAATGCGAGAATATCAGAATAATACATTATAT